GTCCCTGAATTATTCACTTAAACAGAATCAATCCTTTCATAGCTGGATGCTATTTACACAAACAATAGGAGTAGTCAGGGAAATTTTACAATAAGATTCACTGAGAATGTCAGTCACAGGTTTGCCAGAATAATATATATGTTAATACAGCATATAGGGCATTGAAGTATGCAAGACCATGATTGTTTCGTTCCACTATTTTCCCATTATTGTTCCTTTTTGTTCCACTGTTTCTCGCGTATTGTTCAAGTCACCTGTTGAGTTCTTTATTAAAATGTTCACAAATGGTACTGGGGTACCATCTAGCTATTCTGGGCTCATGAAAAAGGAGGTAGCTTGTTCATGTGCATAGTTAGATTTGATTGATTGATTTGTATTTTGTTGTTGGGTTGTAGAAGTTATATATATATTATACTATCAGAGGTCTCATTCCCAAAGATATGTTCCAGTCTTTTTCACACTTTTGATGAAACCTTTTTCATACCCTGATATTTGAAACACTAGCTTTGAGCATGATGAACCTAAGTATTTTGCTTACATAAGATCCCAACAATCTATTTTGTCTTCTGGTGCTCATGCAGTTGTTATGTTTGCTAATCTATCCTCTTTTTTTCATTTAAATTAGGTCATCGCTTCACCCTTCTGTTTTATTCCAAGAACTTAATAATTTTAGATAAAAAATTGGGTTTTTGACCCATATTGGTTTACTTTTGTGTTTATAAACTAAGGTATGAAGTATAGACTTCGCTTTTAAAAAGACAGAGATCACTGGCTGGAAAGGGTTAGGGGTGGATGGAAGTTTGAGGGAAGTTTTTTGAGGATGGTAAAAATTAGATAAACCTAAACATGTTTAAAATTCATGTAACTAAACCCACTATGAGAAGCCTTGGTGGCCTGTTGGGTTACATATTGGGCTGCTAACCAAAAGGTCAGCAGTTCAAAACCACCAGCTGCTCCTGGGGAAAACGATGAGACTTTCTGCTCCTGTCAAGATTTACAGCCTCGGAAACCCACAGGGGCAGTTTCACTGTCCTATAGGGTCACTAGGAGTCAGAACCCGATAGCTTGAGTTTTTGAGTTATACTCACTACAGTCAAGTTGATTCTGGCTCACAGGGGCCCTATGGAATGAAGTAGCACTGCTCTCCGAGGCTGCACATCTTTACTGAAGTAGATACCCTCATCCTTCTCCAAGAGAGCAGCTGGGGGATTTAAACCACTTAACCCTGAAGCTAAGAGCCCAGTGTTGAACCCACAAATCAAACGCTCACCCAAATCCAATTTACTATAGGTTCATTTTAAAGTCACCACTTGTCTGGCAGTTTGTCTTTCTGTGGTGGCTTTCATGCTGCTGCGATGCTCGAAGCTACGAAACTAGTGTTTCAAATATCAGTAGGGTCACCCATGATGAAATAGGGTCCAGTAAAACAACTAATAGACTATGACAAAGGAATAGGCTGGCCACTGAAAATCTTAAGACTCACAGCAAAAATTTGTCAGATACAGTGCTGGAAGATGCACCTCGCAGGTTAGAAGACACTCAAGATACCACTGAGGAAGAGCTGCCTCCTTAAAGTGGAATCCAGCTTAATGATGTGGATAGAGTAAAGCTATCAGACCCTCATTCCCTTGGGGAGCTCATGACTCAAAATGAAAAGACACAGTGGGAAGCATCAATTAACAATGAGAACATGAAGGGAGACCGCGGACAATATAAGATATGAAAATAACTTATAATTTATCAAGGGTTCATGAGGGAGCAGGGGAAAAATGAGAAGCTGATATCAAGGACTCAAGTAGAAAGAAAACGCTTTGAAAATGATGATGCCAATATATGTACAAAAGTGCTTGATGCAATGGATGAATGTATGGATTGTGTTAAGAGCTGTAAGAGCCCCCAATAAAAGTATTTAACTAAAAAATAAAAAGAGAATATGGATAGGAAGCCATCAAAAGCTAAATGGAGCTTTGTTGTTTTATGCTCTGGAGTTGGTCCCAACATTCAGTAGCCCTAGATACAACAGACCCCAAATACCCCAAACAGGTGGCCATCCTGTGCCACCCTCACCATCATTGCTATGTTTGAGCGCATTGATGCAGTCAGTCACTGTCACGCTCTCTCTGTATGGAGATCTCTATTTTTCTTTCCTTCCACTTTACCGAATCTGATGTCTTTTTCCAGAGACTGATCTTTACTGATAACATGTCAAGGTACTGGAGAAAGGTGCAGATCCAGGGATGGTACCGGATCAGGGGGCATTTGGTTTCACTGAGCATGGATCATCACCAGGAGCCAGAATTTAACTTCATAAGAGCTAACAGCAACATTTTCCTAATGACATCCTCAAATGTCATTCCACCATGAAGTACGCCTTCAGAATTGTCCATCTCTTAAATGCGTGGTCTATGGCAATTTTATGGTACCTATATTAGGTGTAGGAGCCCTGACGGTGTAGCAGTTACATTTGGCCGCAAATGTATGGTCGGTAGTTCAAAACCACCAGCAGCTCCTCAGGGAAAAGACGGGGCTTTCTACTTCTATAAAGTTACAATTTCAG